CTGTTTTCAATTTGGGTCTCCAGGCAGACTAGACAGTGTGGAGCAAGGTTTTCATCGGGCCGGGCTCGGGGAGGCGGGGAGGAGCTCCCGCGCCCGCCCCCAGCAGGCGGCCGAGGGCGGGCAGGAAGGGGCAGGGCCGCCGGGTCTCCAGAGGCTGTGGGACCGGAGGGGACGGCCGGCCGGGTCCCAGCCGCCAGAGGCGCGGGTGCGAGGACCGAGGATCAAGTCCCCCGAAGTCGGGGACCTCAGAGCCAACAATACGGGCGGGGAGTGGGGGCAGTTGGGAGCGCAGGTTCCTTAACTTGGAGCCTCTTCCCTCCTGGCTGAGCCTGGCGCCCTGCCGGGAGGAGGCTGGCCGCCTGGAAACTGGGCCTTGGGGCTTTGTCTCCTCCAGGTCTTTATCTCGCACAGATCTCTGACTTTTTCCTATCACTCCACAGGCACTGCACATCTCTGGGCCTGTTTTCTTTTTTATTGATTTTAGAGAGAGTGGCAGGAGAGAGAGAGGGAGAGAAAGAGAGATGAGACACCAATCAGCTGCCTCCTGCACGCCCCCTACCGAGGATCCCGCCGGCAACCCTGGCATATGCCCTGATCCCAATGGAACAGGCAACCTCTTGGTGCATGGGAGGAAGTTCAACCAACTGAGCCACAACAGCGGGTTGGGCCTGTTTTCCATTCACAAAAATGCAAGCCTTGTGATCAGAAGCAGAGGAATTAAATAGGAAAGCAATTTTTTGAAAGAAGCACCTAAGAGCCGAAACCGGTTTGGCTCAGTGGATAGAGCGTCGGCCTGCGGACTGAAAGGTCCCGGGTTCCATTCCGGTCAAGGGCATGTACCTGGGTTGCGGGCACATCCCCAGTAGGAGATGTGCAGGAGGCAGCTGATCGATGTTTCTCTCTCATCGACGTTTCTAACTCTCTATCTCTCTCCCTTCCTCTCTGTAAAAAATCAATAAAATATATTTAAAAAAAAAAAAAGCACCTAAGAGTGACAGTGTTATATTAATCATATCAATAAAACTGGGGGGCGGGGGGACAAAAACCAAAAATGGAGCAGCTCAGGGGTCTTCTGCAGAAAACAGCAAGTCCATCCAGGTGGGCAGTGGCCAGAGGGTCTACCTTGCTCCACAGCTGGGTGAGTGGGCTCTGCCCCTGACAGACAGTAGGTAGCGGCTGCCAGCAGCACTTTCTAGAAAGCCTCAGGCCCACCCTCTCAAGATGGGTACAGATATAGGCTTGAGGCCACTGCACACGGAAGGCAGAACTTACCACATAATGTGGGATACCGCACCAGAGATAACCTTTCTTAACTAAGTTCTTTCTGGTACTAAGTTCTCCGAATCCTCATCAGGGGCTCCTGGACTTATCTTACTTAATTAGATGCTCACTGATGGAGAAATTAACACTGTTCTGGGGCCCAAAGCAGTGAATCCAAGTAAAGGAAAGGGGAAAAGCATTTTCTGGAAGGAGATAGAGATGCACAGATAGATTTTCCTTATTAAGTTTAATGGACATGGGTTTCAGTATATCAGATTGTAAGTAAATTGTCAAATTTTCAAAACAAATCAGGAAAAAAACAGCAAAAAGAAAAATTCATTCCCTCCTCCTGAGACTTTTCCTATAGATCAACTACCTTCGTTAAGAAAAAGACTCTACTGGGGCTGGCAGCACTGTGTATTCTAATAGAATAACACCACTTTTCTTAAAGTTCAGTTTATACAAGCAGCTATGCTAACTGCTTATAGGAAAATCACATCAATACCAGTTTTCTCTGTCTTTCCAATACAGATTTGAGAATGCCATCCTGATTTTATTACTCTCAGCCATACAGGAGTGAACAAGAAACCCAACTTTTTCCCCACCTGGCTCTGAAGTTTATTATTAATGTTACCATCATCAATATTACGTAATGAATGTCATCACCATTATTACAATTATGAATTGGGCAGCCAATCAAACTAGTGAAAATACTGTTCACAAACTCCATGGCAAGTGAAACAATGTCCTTAACTATCTATTCCTTTTTTAAAAAAATGTATGCATTCCTCCTTATCTTCAATTTCTCTAGGTGAGCCAGGAGAGGGAAGACTTCGGAGCTTAAAGTGCAGGACTAACTATGTAGGTTCTCAATGAGCATAATGCCATCTCCTAGAGAACAACTTGGAAATAATCATTGTTGGAGGCATTTTCATAATTATTTTTAAATTAACATTTAACTTTAGAGTAGTTTCAATTTACAAGAAATCTGTGAAAATAACAGAGAATTCCCAGGCCCCCACGCCCACTTTCCCCTTCTTCTTAACATCTTAAATTAGTATGGTCCATCTGTCACAATTAAAGAGCCAATGTTGATATTATTAACTGAAGTCCATACTTTATTCCCTTCTCCTTAGTTTTTCACCTACTGCCCCTTTTCTTCGCCAGGATCCCACCCATGACACCACATTACATTTCGTCATCACGCCTCCTTACCCTCCTTCTGGCGTAGCTGTGACAGTTTCTCAGATTCCCCTGGTGTGTGATGACCTTGGAGTGCTGATCGGGTATTTTGTAAACTGGGATATTTTGTCAGTTGGAATTTCTTTGATATTTTTTTTATGATTATGGGGTTTGGAAGGAAGACACAGAGATAAAGTGCCTTTTTCATCACAGATCAATAGCACATACTATTGCTACAACTTAGGTGATGTCAACTTTGATTCCCTGGATGTGGTGATGTTTGTCACACTTGTCCAATAAAGGTATTCTTTTCCCGTTTCCATACTGCACTCTTTGGAAGTCACCGCACATGGCCCACACCAATGTGTGTGGAGCTGGGGGGGAGGGATCTACATCAATTATCTGGAATTTTTCCACAGACTTGTCTATTCTCCCCATTTCTTTATTTATTTATTCAATCATTCATTTACATCAGTATGGACTCCTGGATATTTATTTTATATGTCTGGTTATAATCCAATTCTATTTCATTAATGTGTTGCTCCAATTGGTCCAGCGTTGGTGACTGGAAGCTTTCAGTTGCTATGTCCCCATCAATGTGTGCGTATGTGTCCTCAGGCTCCTCATGTATGTTTCCTTCCCAAGTCCTACAATTGGTTATTTCTACTAAGGAATCCTGGTGCCTTTACTGGAAAGTGGTATTAGAGACTCAATCTAAGAGAACTGAGAGGCTGTACCCTAAGGACAATGGGTTAAATCATCACTTTAAGAGATTTCACAAAATATCCAAGCCATGACCAAGGTTATAGCAAACAGTAGACCTTCATGTGAAACAGAGGCCCTGAGAGTGAGGGCTGAGTGCAATCCTTAATGAGGGAGAGAATGTTAAAAGATCTTTCCAAAGTACTGACCTCTCTAAACTTAGTTCCTCAACTGAAAATTGGGATAACCCTGGCCGGTGTGGCTCAGTTGGTTGGGCGTCACCCTGGGCACTAAAAGGTTGCCCGATTCCTGGTCAGGGCACATGCCCGGGTTGCAGGCTCGATCCCCAGTAGGGGCGTGCAGGAGGCAGCTGATTGATGTTTCTCTAATATCAATGTTTCTCTCTCTCCCTCTCCCTTCCTCTCTCTCTCTATCTTCTAGTATGGTTGTTAGAATTAAGCAAGAGGAGGACCTTTTAAAGTGCCTTGAAATAATACCTGGCACATAGCAGGCACTTAATACATTATAATTAAAAAAAAAAAGACAGCATGGGACTTTGACCTCTGATGCAATAACTGGGTCCACTTTACCAAAATGATTATTTCATTTATAGGTTTTATACTAGAAAACATGAAGAGAAAATGTTTTAACAATTATTTGATACTTTCTTTCCTTTTAGGAAGAGATCAGTTTCTCTTTATAACCCAGGCATTATCTTACAATTAAGTGATTACAGTAATGACAACAATTTCACATTTCACTTCTACGTTAATCCAAACGGTCTTTTCAGTATTTCATAGGCCACACAGCTTATGAATATTGCAGGCAGCACTTTTATGATATTTGGGGTGAGGCCCCTGAAAAAGCCCATTTTTCCTTCTTTGTAATATATATCTTGAATGAGATGAATCATAGTTGTTGTTTTTTCCTTCTGTGCTATAAATTGAAAAAAAATCAGTGTAATTCAATATTTAATCTTCATATATTAAGACAGTACAATGATTAACAAGAATTTACAGGGAATTAAATTATTTCAGAGTACACCTCGCTCCCTACCTATAGAATAGTCCCATGTGGTCCAATACCATAGTCACTAGACACATGTGGCTATCTGAATCTAAATTAATTAAAATTAAGTAAAACTAAAAGTTTAGTTTCGCAGTTACATGACACTTCCAGTGCCCAACAGCCATGTGCGCCTTGCAGCTGCCGTACTGCACAGCAGACATGAAAGCTTCCCATCCTGCACAGCATTGAAAGTCTTCAATGAGGACCTCACAGGAGCACTGGGAATGAGTGTGACCTCAATAGTCTGCTGGGGGGGTGGGCAGGTGATGAGATGGATGGAGAGATCCCCCACCCGGAATGCCATGTAAATTAAACCCCAAAATCTTCCTAAAAAGAAGAGGGGGGAAAGAATATAAGAGAATATTGCTTACCACATGACCCCTTAAGGCAGTGGTTCTCAACCTTCTGGCCCTTTAAATACAGTTCCTCATGTTGTGACCCAACCATAAAATTATTTCCGTTGCTGCTTCATAACTGTAATGTTCTACTGTTATGAATCGTAATGTAAATATCTGATATACAGGATAGTCTTAGGCAACCCCTGTGAAAGGGTCGTTTGGCCAAAGAGGTCGAGACCCACAGGTTGAGAACCACGGCCTTAAGGAATTTACTGGGGAAGATACTAATAGGATTATGTGAGAGCTTTTTTTTTCCAACTTGAAGGGTATTTTCTTAAAACCTAAATTTCTGACTTTGCACCTAAGAGGAACAAGCAGATGCCCTCCCTTCTGTTTGACGTCTCCTCGTCAAAGAGAACAAAACAGCGTGTTCAACTGCACAAATGTACTAAGTTCCCGCTGCAGAATGTCAAAGGAATTCCAAGTTATCCTGAGTTACTGCTGATTCAATCTGAGGACAGTAAAACCCGTCCTATTGCTCTGCTTGGCGCTTCCTAACTGTAAGCTCTGGAAAACGACCGTTGGGGACAGAAACATGTGCAGAGTTCCAAGTAGAACTTTGTAGAGGAAAGAAAATCTAAACTCCACAAAAAGCTCTACGATAAATTCAAGATCATGCATTAACAATCAGAAAGTTAGCTTTTTATTCAGCAATTCTACAGTTTTTCTGATTTTGAAATCAATTTCTACTCATTTAAAACAACTTGTTTTAACTGTTTTTTTATTTTTAATTCATGGAATTAATAACGATTTTATTACTTCTTTATTTCATTCGCTTTTTAAAATTTTCTTTTTGTTGCTGTTAATCCTCACCTGAGGATATTTTTCTATTGATTTTTAGAGAGAGTGGAAGGGAGGGGGAGAGACAGAGAAAGAGAAACATCAATGAAAGAAAGACATTGATTGGCTGCCTCCTGCACTCACCTCAACCAGGGCCAGGGATCAAACTGCAACCTACGTATGTGCCTGGACCGGAATCAAACCTGCAGGCCTACGCTCTATCCACTGAGCCAAACCAGCTAGGGCAATTTTATTAGCTTTTTAAATTTATTCTTACTTCATTTAAAAACCCACACACTCACCTTGAGCCTGCATGCGTGTTCTAAGAAGGGTCAGAGGGAAGCTGGCTATCTGACCACTGGTGTGCGACAGCGTGCTACATCCCAGCAAAATCATTAAGCCGGGGTCTACAGAGCTTCCTGCATAATGTTCGAGCCAATAGTTCTTCAAAAGCTGGAAGAGAAGAAATCAGGAAACATCCTTTAACTACTGTGCAGGTCGAAGGAGAAGAAATTCATTGTTCACACAACTGCAGGAAACATTACTGAGTAGCTTCTTGATTCTGGAATGATATTGAGCATTTCCGTAGATGTTACCTCAGTTAATCCCTCAGAAACCTGACAAGTCAGTATTGTTGCCTCCATTTTATAAATTTCATAAATGAGCCCTGACTTGTTTTGCTCAGTGGATAGAGCGTCGGCCTGCGGACTGAGGGGTCCCGGGTTCGGTTCCGGTCAAGGGCATGTACCATGGTTGTGGGCACAACCCCAGTAGGGGGTGTGCAGGAGGGAGCTGATCGATGTTTCTGACTCTCTATCCCTCTCCCTTCCTCTCTGTAAAAAATCAATTAAAAAATATTTTTTTAAAAAATTTCGTAAATTAGGCAACTTATTCAGAGAGACTTAAGTTTTCAGGTCAGAAGCTATTTCATGAAAAGTCATTTATAACCAATTTTTAGAATAAAAACCGTTATTGTACCAAATTTTCCAATGTAACACATAATGTCACATTATGGGGATAAACTCACCTCAAAAACAGTGAGGTCTGTGCCTGCATAAGGTATAATGCTTAGCAAGTTAGGGACATAGCCTTTGAAAAAGGTTCTAACACCTTCTTGTTTCAGAAGCTTCTTGCCACAATCAATAATCCCTGAGTACTGTCCAGTTCTACCCACAGTCAGTCTGGTCTTTATTACCTAAAGGGGAAGAACATATTGAAAATATATTACCAGAGTCATTCAGCTCACCTAGCAATCTAGAAAGCTATATTGGATCACAATGTTTACTAATTATCATAGAAATCAAAAAAGAAAGCAATCTTAAACATAATTTTGATTCCTTACTGACTCAAACATGAACTGATACAGTATAGAGCTTTTTAAAAAAATTAAACAGGAGAATATAACTCATCACTGTGGCTCTAATTGATATATCCATTCAAACCCCCTTACTGGGCTGTAAGGCAACATATTCTGAAACACATTCATTACTGCTTCAGATAGGTTGTTTTTTTAAAGTGCTAAATGAAATTGGCTCTTTTTCTCATGCTGGTGGTACCTCTTGCCAAAACTATAGCCAACCTTAACCGGTTTGGCTCAGTGGATAGAGCGTCGACCTGCGGACTGAAAGGTCTCAGGTTCGACTCCGGTCAAAGGCATGTATCTTGGTTGTGGGAACATCCCCAGTAGGAGGCAGCTGATCAATGTTTCTCTCTCATTAATGTTTCTAACTCTCTATCCCTCTCCCCTCCTCTCTGTGAAAAATCAATAAAATATATATATTTTTAAAAACTATAGCCAAACTCCAAGTTTGAAAGAAGTACACGGTCATGTCAAAGTGAAGAACCAACATGACAACAGGGCCTATATATGCCAAGTCATTTAATATGACTTGGACTCATTTTGTGCTCATGAAGCAGTAACAGAGCAGGAATAGAGGGCCCCAGTGGGCTCCAGGAGGCGGCTGCACAGTATTCCAATGCTCCCTGTAATTCTTCTGCTAGAACCTCACTCCTTGTCCTCTTAACTTCTATTCATTTAATTTAGGGCAGTGATTCCCAAAGTGGGCGCTACCGCCCCCCGGTGGGCGCTGCAGCGATCCAGGGGAGCGGTGATGGCCACAGGTGCATTTGGGGGCGATGAGTAGCTGCTATTAAAATTTTTAAAAAATTAATTTCCAGGGGCTGAGTAATATTTTTTCTGGAAAGGGGGCGGTAGGCCAAATAAGTTTGGGAACCACTGATTTAGGGAGATCCATACAGTAGTAGGAGAAATCTCTCCAAAGCAGCCAAGATTTATTTTTTTTAGATCTACTTTGCCTTGATTGGGTGGGTAGGAGGTAATCAACCAAAGACCTTATATGTATATATCCATAACCCATGGACACAGACAATAGGGTGGTGAAGGCCTGGGGTGGGAGCGGGCTGGAGGGGATCAATGGGGGTGGGGTGGGGTGAGGGAGCATATGTAATACTTTCAACAATAAAGATTTATAAAAAAATAAAAACTATCGACTTTGCCTTGATGGGGCAGACTGCCTGAGCCGCCTCTGAGCAGTCAGATGGAAGGCCTTTGTTTTATAACCTTCTCTGCAGGACCCTATACTTTGAATGACCCCATTCTGAAAGTACTGCCCTCCCCAGGGCAGTGCACTCTCTTCTTATCCAATATCTCTGAATTTCCAAATTCTAACCCATTCTATTTGTGCCTTTCATGAAATCCCTAACTGGAAATTTCTCCCCTTTAAATTTCCATTAACGCTTCCTATTGCTCTCTCTTCTAGAATTTGTATTTTATATGTTGGACCATCAGCATTGATGTGTATGTTTTGTCTCCCTTCTGGACTATAAGAAGCTCCAAGGCCAAATGTCTGTCTGACTCATCTCTGGACCTAGGAAAGTACCTCACCCATAGGGGTGTGCAGTATTAATGAATGAGTCAATTAAACAGCAGACAACAAAACTGTTATCTTCTTGGTACATTTACAATACCATCTTTATCCTAAATAACAACAACAACAAAATATATATATATACACTAAGGCCAACTGATACTTGATATGAGCTTTAAGTCCAGTAGCTATAAAATTGTTTATTATGCAAATTCTTGATCTGCAATTCATTTATAAAAAATTAGAAAGTATTACTTTATTAAAACTTTATAATAATACATACCTCCATGGGGTAAATACAGGTCTGAGCAGTTACACCAGCCAATGAACCAGATACAAATCTCTGAATAATTCCTGTTTTAGCACCATCAAAACTAAGCCATTTCTTATACTGTATAAATAAAAGTATTGAAATGTACAATATTACTGAAATGGATTCTATATTGTTTCTAAGTTTATAACATTAATTAGTACTATAAGATGATTTGAAAAAGTATTCTAGATACCTGATATTAACATCTAGTAGAATACTTGATTTCAATTTTTATGCAATTATCTAAGATAATAAGAACCTTTTCCCCTTTTTTCTGATGAGTAAGTCAGCAACATTAAATCACTTAAGCATCTTCATGACTGTCATACTATTTCATAAAAGACATACAAATGACACAAAGGGTGCACGGAATCTATCTTTTATCTCTTTTTAGCCTCTCACCTTCCATGTGGAAGGTACTAAATATTCTTTGGTAACTGGGTAATCAGGAATAGTAACCAGGTAAATTGCGTTTGTTACAAGGAACAACAGTTTACTCTGCTTAGCTCAAGAAACAGGGAGGCGACTGCAATAGCACATGTGGAAATAAGGAAAGCACCCTAGCTGGTTTGGCTCAGTGGATAGAGCATCGAACTTCAGACTGAAAGGTCCCAGGTCAAGGGAACATGCCCAGATTGCAGGCTTGATCCCCACTAGGGGATGTGCAGGAGGCAGCCAATCAATGATTCTCTCTCATCATTGATGTTTCTATCTCTCTCTCCCTCTCTGAAATCAATAAAAATATATATTTTTTTTAAAAAAATAAGAAAATCAGAAATACCAGCCTAAAGGTCAGGCTTCACAGGAACTAAATAAGTCAAGTTTCATGAGACTGAAACTGGAAACTCATTTAGAATCCAAGATAGGCTTAGCAAGCAGATTATCTATCCTAGGCAAGATGCTTTCCTGTTGGCCTTTTCTAGTGGTCTCTCATCAATGCAATCTTCTTAAGAATTAACTCTCTGGTTCTCAAATCAGTGACTTCCCATCAGAAAGTATGATTGGTTCAGTTCATGTGGCAGACACTGCTGTCTGTTCCTAGTACTCATTATCACCTTCTTCCGTTTAGTAACAGCCAACTCAGCTGTAAACTACATTTCCCTCGTCTCCCTTGCAGCTAGGTTGGGTGGCTAAGTGACCTATTTTGGCCAATGAGAAATGAGGGGAAATTGAGTATGCAAATTATGAGACATCTCCTGAAAGATTTTTGGATCGCTCTTTCCTCTACTTGGGAAATGGCAGATGGGTGTGACCTTTGAAGCTGAGTGTTGAAGATGACAGAGCTATACTGTTAGCCCTGGACTACTTGCCTCTAGCATATTTAAGCTACTGTATCTTGGTATTTCTTTGATACAACAGCTTAGAATGAACCCTAACAAGTGCTGCAATTGGTTACCAGCTGGGGGTGCTGTCATAACTAAAACCAACAATTTGTGGCCCTGTTAGGACACAGATACTGCAATCTGAGTCCAGGGCTTTGTGGAAATGCTTGCTGAAGCTGCCTCCTGTGATAATTTGGAAGGTAGACCGTGTGCTTTCTGAGCCTGAAGCTCTAGGAAAACTGATTGCAAAATCTCAGAATGCTGGTCAGTGTTGCCCACTCCTTGCTGCTTTTAGTAAGATCTATGAGACGTGAGCTAAGGCTCTCTCTGCTTTTCTTCCCTGGGCCTTTTCTGAAGCTATCAGAGCCGGGCCAGCCCAGAAAATGGAAACCTTGAGATGTGCATAGAGCACTCGTAGACTCTTATGTGATGCTAATAGGTTACACTATTTAAAAATAAATATAGCTCATCTTAACATTAATTGATTAAGTACAATTAAAATCTTAAATCAGATTAACAAATTTAAAATAAAACATTCAAATTGCTCAAAGGAAAACCAATATCGAAATGTTTTAGAGGGCTTCCTTCACTGTGACATTGAAATGAAAAGAACTAATAATACACATCAGTTATGATAATATACTATAATCTATGAAACATTTCTTTTATCCTCACCCGAGGATATTTTTCCATTGATTTTTAGAGAGTGGAAGAGAGAGGGAAAAACAGAGAGAAATACCGATGTGAGGGAAACACATCAATTGGTTGCCTCCTGCTTGAGCCTTGACCAGGGCCAGGGCCGGGGAGAAGCCTGCAACCGAAATCGAACCCAGGACCCCTCGGTCCACAGGCCGACGCTCTGTCCACTGAGTCAAGCTGGCTGGGGCCATGAAACATTCCTTATAAACAAAAGCAATATAAAAACAACACTAACCAAGTGAAAACAAAGTCACTTATATTTAAATTGACAGCTATCGCTTGACACTCCAGTTTTCTCATGAAAGCCTGAACTTTTTAAACATTCCATTTTAAATCTGGTCTTTGTTGTAAAATTTCACAGACGATAGCATTTTACCTGTTCATAGGCCCCGAACTTGATGACCATCTCAGGTGCAATTTTTAAAACATTTGCACTATTTCCTCGCCAAAGAGAACGAATTCCTCCTTCTTTTATCATCTGCTCAAACCCACCAATTAACTTCATTCTCGTTGGCTCTAAACTATGAACCTAGAAAAAAAAGAGAAGGAAGATTTTCCTGGACCAACTAACAGGGCTGTGCCTCATCGCCTGGGGCTCAAAAGAGCTGGCAGAATCTTCAAACTTCCCAACCTCTCTAAAGATGATGATGTCCATCAGTCTGTTGTCAGGAAGCCCCAAAACACAGAAGGTGTGAAACCCCGGACTGAAGTCCCCCAGATTCAGCACCTTGCTGCTCCACGTGTCCTGCAACTGTCCACACATCAGCTATTGCTCTGAAGCAGCAGCACAGTAAGAAAACTAAGGAAGAAGCGCAGAGTCCAGAGGCTGCAGAATCCGGCCGGGAGATGAAGGAAGACAAAAACACCAGGAACAGATCGCCAAGAGACAGAGGCTGTGCCCCTTGGCAGCTCCTCCCTCTAAATCTGAGTCGGTCAAAAATAAGATTTTCTAAGATCTTAGAAAATAAGATCAGACATCACAACAACAAAAGAGCCCTAGCCGGTTTGGCTCAGTGGATAGAGCATCAGCCTGCAGACTGAAAGGTCCTGGGTTCGATTCCAGTCAAGGGCACATGCATGGGTTGCAGGCTCAAGCCCCAGTAGGGGGCATGCAGGAGGCAGATCAATGATTCTCTCTCATCACTGATGTTTCTATCTCTCTCTCTCTCCCTTCCTTACTGAAATCAGTAAAAATATATTTTAAAAAAAAACAAAAAACAACAAAAGAAAACCTATTCATAATCCAGTACCAATTGTCACAATGTTACCAAAAATCCCAAAGAAAACAAAACACTAAAGTATGTAAATTTACTAGGTTGTGGACTAATTTTTATACCCTTGCAGAGAAAATATTCAGCAAATATTAAATCTTAATTATTTAACCGATTAAATCTGCAGTATTTTATAACTACTGTTAACAATTCATTACTCAGTAAAAAAAAAAAAAAAGAGGAAATTAGACAACATTAACTCTAAAGAGGTAAAAGTTAGTAATCTGCTCCAAGTAACTTAATTTCCATTTTTAAAAATATTCTTAGTACTTAAATAGTAGAGTAGAACCATGCTATTAGGGCAGTGTCAGAAGCTAGAAATAACTAATAAATTAGACTAATGGTGTTTTATCACTTCTTTGATAGATTTAGCTACATTTCTGAAAAAAAAACATCTAATAGAGTGTTTCTATTATTTTATTATTTCAAATAAAAATTCATTTAAACGGCATATAAGCATCTTTAAGAAATTAAGAAATCTTTAATGTAAAAACAAAAATGTAAAAACAGAACTAGATGATAGAGAAAAGTGTGAACACTTGATAAATTAGGAGAATAACCTTTTACATTTTCAGAAAATGTACAATTTTAATGACTAGTATGAAATGTGCCAAAACATTTCTTTTGAAAATTATCAAGGATTTTTCAAATGACTTTAATGTGTAAGGGCCACCGAACTTGCGCAATCACCTGCATCATGACTCTCAAGCGATCAAAAGGTGCCGTGCACGTCCTTGAAATGGCGCTAGCTATTCCTCCTACCACCATATGCCGCCACCAATGTCCAGAACTCTTTTCTTCCACAGTAAAGTCATCTGGAATAGCTATGCTCTCCCCTATGTCAATTATCTAATAAAATGTAAAAACAGAATTAGATGATAGAGAACAGTGGAAACACTAGATAAATTAAGAGGATAATTTTTTTACAAAGATCAAAAATCACAAGTTTTTTTTCATCTCTCATCTCCTGATAATGAAGACTGACAATGTTCTTAGCACTTGTACTAGACCAGCGGTTCTCAACCTGTGGGTCACGACCCCTTTGGGGGTCGAACGACCCTTTCACAGGGGTCGCCTAAGACCATCGCAAAACACATATATAATTACATATTGTTTTTGCGATTAATCACTATGCTTTAATTATGTTCAATTTGTAACAATGAAAATACATCCTACATATCAGATATTTACATGATGATTCATAACAGTAGCAAAATTACAGTTATGAAGTCACAATGAAAATAATTTTATGGTTGGGGGTCACCACAACATGAGGAACTGTATAAAGGGTCGCGGCGTTAGGAAGGTTGAGAACCACTGTACTAGACCAAATAATTTTTAATAATGCATTCAGATATAGGTTTACTATAAGATCAATGCCCACTGATAAAAGAAATTGAAGACACAAATAAATAGAAAGATATATGGTGCTCATGGGTAGGAAGGGTTGATATTGTTAAAATGTCCACACTACCCAAAACCACCTATAGATTCAATACAATCCCCATCAAAATTCCAATGATATTTTCCATAGAAATAGAAAAGAAATCCTAAAATGCACATGGAACCACAAAACCCTGAATAGACAAAGCAGTCCTCAGACAGAACAAAACTGGAGGAATCACACTCCTGCTTTCAAACTATACTATAAAGCTATGATAATCAAAACAGTATAGTAATGGCATAAAAACAGACACATAAATTAATGGAACAATCGAGAGCCCAGAAATAAACCCTCACAGATACAGTCAACTAATATTTGACAAGGGAGCCACGAATACTCAGTGGAAAAGGATAGTCTCTTTAATAAATGGTGCTGGGAAAATTGGATAATCACATACAGCAGAATGAAACTGGACCTCTCTCTCACACCACTTACAAGAATTAACTCGAAATGGAGTAAAGGCTTAAACATTAGATCTTAAACTCCTAGAAGAAAACACAGCAGAAAAGCTCCTTGACATTGGTCTTGGCAGTGACTTTTTGGATTTGACACCAAAAGCATAATTAACAAAATCAAAAATTAATATGTGGGATTACATCAAACTGAAAACCTACAAAGTGTGAGAAAATATCTACAAATCATATAGCTGATAAGGGGTTAATGTCCAAAATATATTAAAGAAACTCATACAACTCAATAACAAAAATAAATCCACTGAAAATGGACAAAAGAACTAAAGAGATACAGATGTCCATATATATGAAAAGATGTTCCATATCATTAATCACTGGGGAAATGTGAATCAAAACCACAATGAGCCCAGCCGGCAAGGTTCAGTGGTTGAGCATTGACCTATGAACCAGGAGGCCATGATTTGATGCACATGCCTAGGCTGCAGGCTTGATCCCCAGTGTGGGACATGCCAGAGGCAGCTGATCAATGATTCTCCCTCATCATTGATGTTTCTCTTTCTCTCTCCCTCTCCCTTCCTCTCTGAAATCAATAAAAATAAATATTTTTTTAAAAAAACCACAATGAGTTACTACCTCACACTTATTAGAATGCCTATTTCCTAAAAAAAAAAAAAGGAAAAGAAATAACAAGTATTGGCAAGATATACATACACACCCATACCCACATAGACACACATCTATGTACAATAATAAACAATAAAATAGATACAGAGGCAGAGCTGCCTTGAACAAACTGTCAAACTACAGCGGGAAGGCCGGGGAGGGTTGAGGGGCAGGAAGGCGGGGGGGGGGGGTAAGAGATCAACCGAAGGACTTGTATGCATGCATATAAGCATAACCAATGGACATAAGACACTGGGGGTTAGGGGAGGCCAGGGGATTGTCAAGGGCGGGGAAAAAATAAGGAGACATATGTAATACTCTTTGTAATACTTTAAGCAATAAAAAATAAAAATAATAATAATAAACAATGGTCACTGTACTGTCATGAGAAAGAAGGAAGTCCTGCCATTTCCATAATATGGATGGGCCTGGAGAACATCATGCTGAGTGAAATAAGTCAGACACAGAAAGACAAACACTGTATGGAATTACTTCTATGTGGAATCTAAAAGCCAGATTCACAGTCTTTCCCTTCAGCGTGCCACTGAAGACCCTGGTGTTGCCATGGGCCGCCGCCCCTCCCGGGGTTACCGGTATTGTAAGAACAGCCGTACCCAAAGTCTCCTTTGTGCTGAGGTGTCCCTGATGCCAAGATCCACATCTTTGACCTGGGGCAGAAGAAGGCAAAAGTGGACAAGTTCCCACTCTGTGGCACATGGTGTCAGATGAATACGAGCAGCTCTCCTCCGAAGCCCTGGAGGCTGCCCGCATTTGTGCCAACAAGTACATGGTGAAAAGCATGTACTTGGCAAAGATGGCTTTCACCTCCGAGGGCGGCTCCACCCCTCCCACGTCATCCACATCAACAAGATGTCCTGTGCTGGAGCTGACAGGCTCCAGACAGGCATGCAGGGTGCCTCTGGAAAGCCCCAGGGCACCGTGGCCAGGGTCCATGTTGGCCATGTCATGTCCATCCGCACCAAGCTGCAGACCAAGGATCATGTCATTGGGCCCTACGCAGAGCCAAGTTCAAGCACCCTGGCCACCAGAAGATCCACATCTCCAAGAAGGGGGATTGGACTAAATGTAATTCGGATGAGTTTGAAGACAGGGTGGCTGAAAAGCGGCTCATCCCAGATGGCTGTGGGGTCAAATACATCCATCGTCGTGGTCCCCTACAAAATGGTGGGCCCTGCACTCATGAGTCTCGGTGCTGCCCCCTCCTTACAACCACCAGTAAACCCTACTTCCTATCCACAATAAAAGCAAATAAAAAGCCAAATTCATAGAAGTGGAGTGTAGAATGGTGGTTGCCAGGAGCTGGGGAGTGGAGGAAACGGGGAGGCGCTGGCCAAAGGGGACGAACTTCCAGTTCTGAGATGACTAAGTTCTGGGGATCCCATGGAAAGTAGAAACAGTAATTATGTGAGGTGATGGAGGTGTTAGCTAACCCTACTGTGGTCATCATTTCACAATATAGAAGTGTCTCAAATATGTTATACACCTTAACTTACAAATGTTATATACCAATCATATCTCAATACATTTGAAAAAACAGACCAAGATACAAATGCAGTAGGGATCAATGAGATGCACATTAAACCAACAAGATATCACTTTATGTCCAACAAAATGGCAAATGTCAGAAAACTGGGTAATTCCCAGTAACAGTAATATAAAGAGAAGCAGGAACGTTCCGGCACTGCTGGTGGGAGTGAGCTGGCGTAGCAAGCCATTCTGGGAAATAACATGGCTAGATGGTATTTTGGAAAATGAAGACTGAACACCCTAAAAATTTTACAAATGCATATTCCTTCTGACTCAGAAACTCAGGTAACATTCTTTAGGAAGCATAAGAGAAAAGCATTTTTTGTGGGTGGGGAATTAGAGAAAACACTATGAGGAGAGACTACTGTTTCTTTAGCCACTGAGGCTGAAAGTATTATAGGGATTATGTGACCATAATAACAGCTATGACACTTACGACAGATAAAAAATACAAACTAATCTTACAGTAGAACGCTTCCAGAAGCCAGCAATTTCATCGATACTTTTTGCGGGATGAAGTAAAAAGTAGTACTTCCATTCATCCCAGTCTACTGTCATTGATCCATCACTGTCCATGCTGGAATTTAAAAAACAAATAGTGCTTACAACATTTATAACAAAGATAGCACCATGATAAAAATTAATTAAATGCTTCTTACATATTTATGATAGAAGCCATTCCTTTGGACTTCATGAACAGTGCTGTACTTTCATATTTTAATAGACTTTATTTTTTAGAAAAATTGAGAATATAGCCCTGGCTGGGTGGGTCCGTTGGTTGAGCGTTGTCCTGTACACCAAAAGGTTGCAGGTTTAATTCCCAGTCAGGGCACATACCTAGGTTGGGGGTTTGATCCCCAGTCAGGGCACATACAGAAAGCAACTGATCAAGGTCTCTCTCTCTCCCTCCCTCCTTCCTTTCCTCTCTCTCTAAAAATCAGTAAAAACATATCCTTGGGTGAGGATTTTTTTTTAATTGGGAATATAATACAGAGTTACACCCCTTTTCCTCTAATGGTATCATCTTACATTATTATGGTACATGTTACAATTAATGAACCAATATTAATACATCATTAACTAAAGTTCACACTATCCTCAGAGTTCCTTCGTTCTTAACTAATGTTCCTCTTTTGTTTTAGGATTATGAGGTAATCGTCATGTCACCTTAGGCTCCTCTTGGCTGTGTCAGTTTCTCAAACTTTCCTTGTTTTTGGTAACATTGACAGTTTTGAAAAGTATTGATCAGATATTTTGTAGAATGCCCCGCTGATGGAATTTTAACTATTTACTTGTATTTCTCTCACATATGCCTTGCTCTTTTAAAGGGAAGGCTATTTAAAGTCACCTTTATATTGCTAGCACTGAGCACTCAGTAAATGTTAGTTGAATGAATGAATAAATGAATAAAACTGAGGATGAACCTTATACCTTATGAATCTTCTAATAATATTTTTCCTCTGACCCTCTTTTCCCTACTTATAGCTTTTAAATCAACTTTAAAATAACCTTTTACTTATTAATTTAAAGAGAAGACTCACTTTTTACCATGAAAAATTCAGGGTTTACTCGACTTTTAAGCATCTCAAAATCAAAAAACACAACAGCTATTGTTTCTTTGAAGTCTAAGTTAAAGGTGGAATTAAGTGAAATGCTTTTCAATTGCATTTTTCTCAATGGAAATTCTAAAAAGCAAATTCCATCCGCCAACAAAAAGATCCTTATGATGTCCAGTCCCAGCCAAGACAAAATAACGGGTGTAGAACATATCCTCTCACTATGAACAATTACAAAACTGAACACAACGTGTGTACGGCCAAGTGCTAAGTTATACAACTCCATCCGACTAACAAACGTAGTTACTAGAGGGTTGTGAGCTTAATGGAAATCCTGAAGGTGAGCAATGTTGAAATAAAGGAAGGGAGGGAGGGAGGGAGGGAGGGAGGGAGGGAGGGAGGGAGGGAGGGACGGAAGGGAAGAATGGGCTATATTTATAGAAATTAGTTTCTAACTTAGAATATTAAACAAAAATGAAAACTATTAAAAATAAGCAGGGCTGACCTTTGGAGAATATTTTTTGCCTGAGCTTCAGAAATATCTACACCCAGTGACTTCAAAGCAGTGATTATTTCTGAAGTTTCTATTACTCCTTTAAAAAGTGAAAAAAAATGTCATTAAAGTCTCTCAGAAGATAACAAGGCAAAATATACTTAGAACACAATAGTCTTCAAAAGCCCATGTCCTTTATAGGCCGCCCATCCCATATTCACAGCCCAAAGACTAAAATGCTCTAAAAGTAAGACACTTTGTCAACTATACTTTAATTAAAAAGGGCTTTACATTCCAGAATTTTTAAAAATAAAAAATGTTTTGTAAATGTGGCACTAAAATATTTGTTGGCAAAACATGTCTCAAACTGATGTGAAGTTAATTTTAATCAATTATTTATCTAATTCAGGGTTATGCATTTGTTTCATTGATGGAATATTCATGTACAGTTGACATTTGAACAATACATGTTTGAACTGTACGGGTCTACTTTTACACGGATTCTTTTCAATAAATACAATAGGGGATTCGCATCCACAGGTTTTGCGTCCCCGAGTTCAACCAACCTCTGAGGGTTCAACCAACCTCTTATCAAAAACAGTATTTTCGAATTTCCAGCCATGGTTTTATAACTACAAATCAAAAATACTGTTTTCGCCCTAGCTGGTTTGGCTCAGTGGATAAAGTGTCGGCCTGAAGCTGAAGGTCCTGGGTTCGATTCCAGCCAAGGGTATATGTCCAGGTTGCAGGCTCGAGCTCCAGTAAGGGGTGTACAGGAGGCAGCTGATCCATGATTCTCTCTCATCATTGATGTTTCTAACTCCCTCTCCCTTCCTCTATGAAAAAAATAAACATATATTTTTTAAATACTGTTTTCAATACACAGTTGGTTGAATCCTTGGATGTGAAGGGCTGGCTAGTGTTATCTTTTTAGGGACACAAAAGTTGTACTCAGATTTTTTACAGTATGGTGGTCAGTGACCCTAAAGCCCCTGTTGTTCAAGGTCAACTGTATAGTTGCACAGTGGTGCCCCAGACCCTACTTTAATTATTAAATAATAACATATATGCACAGTACCCGTTTTCTAAAAGCAAAATTCTAAATTTCTAAACACATCTGGCTGCAAGGGCTGCCATACGAAGTTTGTAGATCTAAGACAGACCTTGATTATTGTACCTAGCTGGAAAGAATTAAAAAGCTAATTCTGAAGCTCTGATTCGGGGGCATGAAAATAAAGCCACTCAACATTGGATAAGGCAGTGGTCGGCAAACTGCGGCTCGAGAGCCACATGCGGCTCTTTGGCCCCTTGAGTGTGGCTCTTCCACAAAATACCACGTGCAGGCGCGCATGTACAGTGCGATTGAAACTTCGTGGCCCATGCGCAGAAGTCGGTTTTCGGCCTGGGTGAGTCTATTTTGAAGAAGTACTGTTGATATTTGACTCTGTTGACTAATGAGTTTGCCAACCACTGGGATAAGGAAAGCGCTACACAAAAGTGGCCACTGAGGCGGCAGCAATGAGGACGCTGAGAGCAGGTGCTCAGTCAGAGGGCCCTGCAGGGCTGCCAGAGCCGGAGCCACCAGTCCAGGTGGGCAGCAGCCCTGGTGGCAACAGCGGGGCTTCCTATCTACGACGCAGCTCAGGGGCTCAAACAAAATGAAACCAGTGGGACGCCTGCTCCGCCAGAGTGGACCTTGGCCAGACTGTGATGTCCCAGTTTGGCTAGTCAAGGCAGAAATGAAAAGATCTATGTTGCTAATCACTATATTACTTTGGGATTTCCATCCTGCCTCAGAAAGACTATTCTCTATTATTACCAGTAACTACAAGCACTGGTGTGCAACTTCACCAGGGACAATAGTCGCGTAATATTTTTACCAATGGCATTCTAATTTCCCTGATGTATCTGACAAGACGGATTCATCAACAAGATGGTGAAATTTCAGAGCAGCACAAGAGCAGAACAGTCAGTCCTAGCGTGGCAGCAAATGACAGCCCAGTCTCATTTCAAGACATGCCTCTGGGTGCTACCTCAGTATGACTGTCCAGAAAGGCCTACACCTCCTTCCGGGAAGTGCCCGGAAGCTTGAAGCACTGTGCATTGGGGATTAAGGGTAATGGAACCACTTTTGTGCTCAGGTCATAAAGCCTCTGATATTCAGGTTATATTTTCTTTGACCCAAGAATCCATCAGTGGAATCCTTTAAACCAGCGGTCGCCAACCTTTCGGACCTCACAGACCACCAGTGGGCCGCAGACCACCAGTTGGCAACCACTGCTTTACATCACTTTCCTGGTACACTTACAATTTTTTAATTAACAAAAATTAGATTTCACAAAAGTTAAAAATTAACATATGTTTCTTATATAGATTATAAGTAGGTTCTGATTACCCATGGTGGGTCAGCCACATATGGATGCAGAAGTGTTCTACTCTACATTCAGTCTCTCTGAGGTAAGGATTTGTAACAAAGAACAAGCCAGCATGGATACTGCTCACAGCACTATGTATAAGAACAAAAAGCTGGAAACATCCTAAATATCTAGCAATATGGGAATGATTAGATAAGTTTACTCACAAATGGAATATTTTAGAGTCATTAAAAAATGTTTGTCGCCCGACTTATGAATCAGGAGGTTAAGGTTCCATTCCCGGTCTGGGCACATGCACAGGTTGCAAGCTTGATCCCAAATCATGCAGGAGGCAGCCCATCAATGATTCTATCTCATCATTGATGTTTCCATCTCTCACTCCCTCTCCCTCTCTAAAATCAGTAAAAATATGTTAAAAAAGTATGTTTGTGAAGAATATCAAATGAAGCAGAAATGCTTACATGATAACATTAAAAGAAAAAAGCAAGCCCAGCCAGTGTGGCTCAGTGGTTGAGCACTGACCTATGAACCAGGAGGTCACGGTTCGATTCCCATTCAGGGCACATCCCCAGGTTGCGGGCTCAATCCCCAGTGTGGGGCATGCAGGAGGCAGCCAATCAATGATTCTCTCTCATCATTGATGTTTCTATCTCTCTCTTCCTCTCCCTTCTTCTCTGAAATCAATAAATATAAAAATATTTTTTAAAAAAGCAGGATACCAAACTACACACACAGTGTGACTGCAATTGCATCTACAGAGAGAGAAAAGAAACCAAGGGGGGGAAAAAACAGACAAAAAAGTCTAAAAGGAAATATAAAAATAAATTAAAATGCTAAATCTGATCTCTAGCCAACAGCGTTACAAGTAACTTTTACTTTCTTTCAGGAGGTTTTCTGTGTTATCTAACTTTCCTGCAACTGAAATATTTTCAAAATAAACAAGAAAACAATAAATGACATTTTTTTAAACTACCATGACATATACTGCAAATGAGTGGTGAGACCTACCCACTCAGCCAAGTAGCGTAGCAGAGGGCAAAAACTATTTTATTAAAAGATGGTAACCAAAATTAATTAATTAGTTAATTAATTTTTAAAAAAAGATGGTAACCACACAGAAATTGTAACAATAAATACAGTTTATATATTATTTCTAGAAATTAAAAAAATACTGCTAAACACGTAACAAAATTGAATCTTTGATAGCAGGAGTTAATTAAAGGCTAGTAAACATATCCTTTGGTACTGCTACTCATGCTAAGCTAATTGTGAATAAAACACACACATACACACCATCATTATTTAAGTCCAGACTCTTAAATGCCAGCCTCATTTTTTTCTCATGGTCTTTAAGGTATTGCAAAAATTCTTGGAAGTCCAATCCTGAATCAGCATTGGTATCTCCAGCTTTAAAAATGTCCTGCAAGAAAGAAGAAACCATTGCAGAAACATTGCAAGTGAAGCCCCTGTATCATTCCATTGGCAATTAATAATTTCACTCATGCTAATTATGATGTCCATCCACAGCCATTGGCCTATTTTTTCAGTCACAGATACAAGGCTAAGTAATATATATATATATATATATATATATATATATATATATATATATAAATTGTGCAATACTAGAGTCAATAGCCACATGTCATTTCAAATAATTATGAATCTTAGAAGAATTTACCTGCGGTGATCAATGAATGCCAAATACTTTGAAAGAATAAAGATACCAAAAAAAAAAAAAAAAGAATAAAGATACCAAGATAGCCCTAACCGGTTTGGCTCAGTGGATAGAGCATCGGCCTGTGGACTGAAGGGTCCCAGGTTCGATTCTGGTCAAGGGCACGTACCTTGGTTGCGGGCACATCCCCAGTAGAGGGTGTGCAGGAGGTAGCTGATCGATGTTTCTCTCTCATCGATGTTTCTAACTCTCTATCCCTCTCCCTTCCTCTCTGTAAAAAAATCAATAAAATATATTTTTAAAAAATAAAGATACCAAGATACATAGTTCTTGCCATCAGAGACTCCCACTCTATTAATTAAATGAGATAAAATATGTGCAATTCTAGCCTGGCCGGTGTTGTTCAGTGGTTGAGCATCAACCCATGGACCAAGAGGTCACCAGGTTCGATTCCTGGTCAGGGTACATGCCTGGGTTGCTGGCTCAACCCCCAGTAGGGGGCGTACAGGAGGCAACCAATTGATATTTTTCTCTCATCCATGTTTCTCCCTCTCCCTTCCTCTCTCTAAATTCAATGAAAAACGTATTTTTTTAAATGCTAGAGATAACATATTAATGATTAAGCCATTAATCTGAAGGGACTAAGCTGAGTGAGAGGATATAAGTACGAGATAATGAGAGAAAAGTTCATTCAGAGGAGTTTTTGGAGCACAGAACTCTTAAGGAATTTCCTGAGCCACAGGAACGTTTGGACTTCATACCAGGCACACACATCTCACGCGGGAAACAAGTGGGGTGGTACCTGAAGACTGTGTAGCATTGAGAGAGGAGAAATAGAATAATTGTTTTCTCTTGATATGCTGTCACTTCCATCTGAACAATTCTTAAATAATCAAGTCACAGACCCGTCCAGAGAAGGAAGACACCCCTAACTAGGGCGACGTGCTGAACCATCAGCTACTGTCAACCCACGGATGAGGGTCTGACCCGCCCCAAACCCTGTGGATGTCAGAGACACACAGCAGCTCTGGGGCCCCATCTGGGCCTGTCCTACGAACGCCCTAATCCAAGAGGTCTTTTATAAAACTCTGCATTCCCAGAGGCTAACGCAGCTCCTGAAATCCTGTGCGGGTTCAGTACATGGCGACTGGGCCACCGGAAACCCACCGGGCATTCCCCAACGTGCCCAGGAGAAGGCCTGGGCCCTGCGGGCAGGGCCTGTCTCAGGAGGTGGAGACGGTTCCCCGCGTTACTGTGCGGGAGGGGCTCCCGGGCGAGAAGTCCCCCCTCACACACGGGCCTCTCTCCGAAAGCAGCTCCAGGAAGGCGGTCTGGCCTCCCGCTCTACTCAACGTCCCTCCAGGGCCCGGAGCCACGTCCCCTGGGTCAAGCACCTTCTCCGACTGCAGGCCAAACGTGGAGCTCCAGTTTTTCAGCCCTTCGCTGAGCTCCGTGATGTCCACCACCCCGTCCCCGTTGCGGTCAAGGTCTTGGAAGAGGATCTTGTAGGGGAAGATGTCCTCGTCCTCCTGGCAGGCGGCCGTGGGCAGCACGAAGCCCCGCAGCTGGCGCCGCAGGGCCCCTCTGGTGCCGGCCGGTGGGGGCCAGGCCCGCAAAGCCGCCTGGCCTCTGGGCCCCGGCGAGGCGGCCCCGCCCTCCGGCTGCGCCACCTGCCGCCGCCTCCACGACGCCGCCGCCGCCAGGAGGCTGATCCAAGCCGTCAGCGCGGCCATGGCAACCGCCTGGCAGAGCCACTGTGGTTCCGGGTTCCGAGCCTCCCGGGGCCAGGATACCCGCGCCTCTGGGCTCTCGGGCGGGCGGGCGCGCTCAGACAGGACCCTCGGGCACACGGCCTCCCTGCCAAGCACCACGCAACCGGAAGCTGGAAAGCGTGGTGCCAACCAGGACGGTACTTCCGGTTGACCCGGAAGTAGAAGGTGGTGTGGGGCCTGGAAGTGCAGCTCCGTGTCCAGCATCTCCCGGCGCTGACTCCATGCCTGTGGCAGGTGAGTTGCTCTGACCTGGTGCCACCGCTCCTCCCAGGGAAGGTCATCGCCCTGCAGTTGGGCCCCACTGACCCTGCGGGAGAGGTCTGGACAGGACCGCCTTCCCTCCATTCCCGTCTCTCTCTTATGCTTCCTCTACGACCTGGGTGTTTCCAAAAACCCGTCCGCTTCCTCACCTCCCACTTTTCTCCTGGCGCCACTGCAGCCTCATCTCAGCCGCCACCGCCCTACCTAATGTCTTAGTCACAACATCCAGGGGGCGCTTTGAAACCCTTGCCCGGTTTAATCCTGGGCCTGTGTAGACACTGAGGACCAGGCCCTCCATCTCGACACAGTTCCCTTTGTCTCCTGGGACAGCGTGCGTTTCCGCCATGTCCGGGGTTTTCTAAAGTCCAGGCGCTAGAGAATTACAGGAGGCAGGGTGAGGGGTTCTGGAGGAACCGAGCACTGACATTTATTGACCTGAAGCGTTGACATATAGTTTATTCTAGTTTGCTCCCCCAAAGGCTCTGCGCCTCTTTGCTCCACTGAGTACACACAGCTTAGGCGTGATGGAGCAGGAAGACAGAACGTGGGATCCTGATGACATCAGCCTCTGGACCATGTTAATGTGAAACAGAAACTAACCCAGGCCAGCAGCCACCATTGTTTCTGGTCTTCCATCTAACCAATAAACATCCTCAATAATCCACAACTAGTCAGAATAACAGGTAACCAGAAAAATGCCCAGGTTAAATTACAATCAAAATGACTATAAACAGCCCTAGCTGGTTTGGCTTAGTGGATAGAGCATAGGACTGAAGGGTCCCGTGTTCAGTTCCCCATCAGGGCACAGGCCTGGATTGCAGGCTCGATCCCCAGTAGGGGGCGTGCAAGAGACAGCCAATCAATGATTCATCATTGATGTTTCTGTCTCTCGCTTCCTCTCTGATATCAATCAAAATATATTTTAAAAAAATGACTATGAACATAGGTTTGAAACTGTTAAACTATATTGATGTTAAAATAATTTGGGCATTTTATGAGAAATCAATATTTTGAAAATAACCACTAATTTTCTATAAATCCATATGATGATATTTATGAAACAAAGAACTTTAGAAACTAATGATAAAGACTTATAGTTATGCAAATTGCCTCAGTGTTTCATTTATCCACCATTTACTGAATATAGATACTCAGCCAACACTATGCTGGCTGCTAGAGATACAAAGATAAATGAGTCTCTAACTTCCATTGAGGACTCACAGACTAATGATAGAGACACAAACAGATGGTTTATGAAGTATTTATTGTCAATGTATTTTTTATTCATGAGCAGATTTTTTTAGATTTAGCAAGTGAACAAAAAAATTTTAGTTATGAAATCCACTAAATGTAATTTGGCTCAGTGACCAGTAGAGGGTGATAGGACATCAGAATGACAGCTTAAGAATGTCTTTATGGACCATAGTGTAGGGATTTTTCTATAAACATAATTTACTCAACTAATATTTGTCCCCAAGCTCATTACATACTTATCTATTGAATATGCAAAGTATATAGATCCATTCTAAATAAAATACATTCATGATTTAGAAAAATACAGTGAAAAAATAAGTTTTACTTATTCCTATTTTATTTATCATTCAGTTTTACTTTTTTTTTTCTCTATGTCCTACAATATCATGAAAGCTCACTAACCAAAGAAATACATTGCTTTTTATCATGTGTTACAAATATCGTTTATCTGTCTTATTGGTACCTTTCAGAAATAGTCAAGTTAATGAAACTCGATGGAATGGATGCACCAAGCCAGCTGTAGTTGTTGACAGAAAATAAATGATAAAATCTCTTTATGTTATCGGTGAGTAGTATTTTGAAGCTTGAAATTTGATCCCTCTTAGTTATGTAAGTTTTTTTACTATAATTCATGTCTGTAATATTGAGATCAAAACTTTTTAAAATGCAACTAATAGAAAAGCATTTTCTATTAAACCACAGTATTCTTTTTGCAAGATGGAAAGAAGAGAAAAAAAGCTTTTCTTTGTCAGAATGTGTTTTGTTTAAAGTGAAAGTGCCTCTTGTTTAGACTACAATAGACAATTCTCCCTTTGGAAGGGCATCAATTGGCCATTATTTATGGAGTACCCACTAGATGCTCCATTTATGTGCTGTAACAAATTAACAAGAACTGGGTGGCTTAAAACAAAAGATATTTATTCTGTCACAGTTTAGGAGGCCAGAAATCTGAAATCAAGGTGGGCTTCTTCTGGAAGCTCTGACGGAGAATCTTTTCCTGGCCCCTCTCCTAGTTTCTGGTGGTTGCCAGCAATCCTGGACTTGTAGCTGCATCCCTCCAGTCGCTGCCTCCTTCTTCACACGGCCTTCCCTTCTGTGTGTCTCTCTGTGTCTTCAAACGGCCTTCTCGAAAACCAGTCTTGGATTTAGGGCCCACACTCCAATCTAGTGTGACCTCATCTTAACTGATTACATCTGCAAAGACCCTGTTTCCAATGAGATCATACTCTGAGGTTCTGGGTGGACATGAATTTTGGCAGAACACTATTCAACCAAGTACAAGTGGTATGCTATTTTGTATGTCTTCAAATAAATCTTCAAAGAGAAAAAATAATATGGTTTTCTGTTATGGAAATAATATGGAAACTGAATTATTATATTCAGAATAGACATATCCCAAAGTACAATCAGTTGAGTCTTTTACTTTCCTTTCCTTAATCTTCTTACTTTGCTTTACTTTTATTCTATTTTTATATTCATGTGTTTATACCTTGCCTTATTCTATAATGGTTTTGAGGTGTCTTGCACTAAAAATATTTAGATAGTAATGCGCACAACATAAAATGTCTGTGTCTCTCTCTCAATAAACAGTGTATGATTTTTTTTGAGACCCAGTAGAATCAGATATTTAATAATAAAGGAAACTATAGTAAAACTCTATAAGTGGAATCCAAAAGTTCCATCACATGAAATTCACATTATCAAAATGTTAAAGAAAACATCCCTTTTCAATTAGTCTCTCAGTTATTATATATTTAATTTGTGTTCACTTATGAAATATGTAAGAAATAGACCAGTTATTACAAATGTGCACAATACAGTGAACTGAGAAAGCCCCAATCACAAAGTAGTCATTTTCAGATCCTTTACCCTGAAGAAGATACCACCTTAAACTGGTCCCTAGTTGAGAACTGCAGCTGGGTGGAGGATGGGACCCAACTGCCAACTGGGTTCTCCCTAAATTTACATGATCTCAGAGACATCACAGTTTAAAGGAAGAGCAGAAAGTCAAGACCAGAGACACTAAGCACAGATGATAAAGGAAAATGTGGCCCGTTGCACAGTTCTCATCAGAAAGGAGGAAGCACATCACCTCAGGAGGACCCAGGTTTTTTGTAGTGATGACTTGCTTAAAAAATGTCTCATTGAGTGATAAAGGGGGAGATCATGTTCTTTAAAAACTTCTAAAGCAATTGCACTAACAGGAAAGGTTGCTTCTTCTCAACCGTTTTGTTCAAGTGGAGGCCGTGATGCTGAAACAACTCAACCAAGGTAGTTATGGACAGGCGAAGATAACAGGACAGAAGTTTAAAGGAGCTGGAAGAGCCACTGAAACAAATATCCTCAAACACACCCCCAAAATGTCACCCTCCCGTGTGGACTCTCAGGCTTGTGCTCACTGATGAGAAAATAGGAAGCTAATATTTGGAGATGCTGGATCTATACACGCTTTAAAAACAGGTGAGCAGACAGTCAAGTTACATTCTCAAAGAAAATTAAAGAACCCAAATAGAACACTGGACAAATATTCTAACGTTTCCTACAAGGAAACTCAGAACTTTCCACAAGAAATCGTTCTGGGAGCTTCAAGATCCATCCAGTCAACCCTGCAAAAAGCTTTGCCTTCCCTACTTCCCTACCTTCTGAGGCCCAATGACAACACAGGGACAAAAATCCCAGAATAGTCAAGAGAAGAGAAAGGGAGTTGCCAGTGGGTGAAGGAATAAAACAAATGTGTGGAAGATGGAAAGAGACTAGAAAGCTGCCTGTGGTTGTAGATAAGAAAGAATGGGTAGATAAGAAAGCCCAAAATATGCAGGAAGGGGCTTCAGTGCAGGAGAGGGTTGGTCTCACACGGCCTTAGGATAAGCAGGGGAGTGAGAAGCCACAGATGTTTCAGAGGCAGGTGGCAGGTGGCTGGGAGGGCAGGAGGCAGAGGGGGGGCTGAAATGGAGGGATTAACTGGAAGTGTGTCTGGGACACGACTGCACCAGACACCTGCCCACACTCCCTACCCTCTCCTCCCACGCCTGAATACATGGAATACCAACTGGCATTTGACTCCTGGCCAAAAAGAAAACGGTTGCTTGTCTTGAAAACTGAATAAACTGACTGAGAATTAGGAATGCTAAGGCTGAACACCAGTGCCCCAAGGAAAGCTCTCTGCATGTTTATATTTTGGAGTGCCAAATCTACCCCCCAAAAAACGGGCAGGTTCCAACATTCTTACCCTAAAATGAAGGCCACCATGAATAAGGCTATTTATAGGAGTAGTGGCTGGCTGTGTACCAAGCATCTGTGCTGGTTCCTTAGTGTGATGCTTCTGGGGCGTGGCTGCCCAGCCAGGGAGGGCCTTTGCCAGCCTCTCTTGCACCCAGGTGTGGTCATCTATTGGTGGAATGGGAGTGGAAGTGATGCGGGTGTGCCTTCTCAGTTTCTTGTTTCACCTTCTGGCTGCCAGAAGACACCAAGGCCCAAGGAGATGCTGGAAGCAAGATGCTATGGCAAGTCAGACTCTCCCTGTTGTCTCCTTACATTACAGTGCCCTCACTAGGCCTGAGGTGAAGTAAAAACCACCTGCCCCATTGGTCTCCCGTGGGGGGAGGGAAGACTCACAACACAACGAAGATTCGAACCTTCCAGCTCTCAACTGGCTCCTCAGCTCTTCCGTTTCAGCACTCACAGCCGTAGGATAAACAGAGGAGTGAGAATCTACAGAATGGGGTTTTAGCATCTTTGTAACTGTCACTGATGACCTGACTCTAACACTTGTCCATGAGTGTCAGTGGATCAGGAGACTTTGCCCAAATTAAAAATGGCAAACTTTTATTGAAGACTCTTAGGTTTTGGAAATCCTAGAAACACAATTAGGCAATACCCAGCGTGTTCTGAGGAAGAAGGAAACGCTGAGAGAACTTACAGTAAAAAGTCTGTTCTTGAGAAGAATCCGCTCTTCATGCTTAGCCTCTGGGTTGGTCTGAGATGGTAACCTTCCAGATGCCCGGGGATGGACATCAGGTAGTCTAGACACATGGGCCTTCTTCCCTGAGTTCTCAGGGTTCTTCCGGGTGTTATCTATGGGGTTTCTATATC